GCACTGGCTGTCGGGTCCTGCGGGGATAATGGCGGCCCCCTCAGTTTTCTGCGCGGCGGCGGCGGGTGGCGGTGCGGATGTCCGCCATCCGCGCGGGTGCGTCCTGAACTTCCCCCAGCGCTGCTTTCGCAAGTTCATCAGCCGCCTCGTTGTGTGTGAGAGGGGCGCCGGCGCGCCCAAAAAAATAAAGTTAAAGCGCAGGCGCACGCGCCGCGACGGAGCGGGCCGGCAATGACGCTCTAAATGCGGCGGAGCACCCCGTCCGTGGCTCGGGTCGGACCAGTTTCAAGTGCGCTCAGGAAAAGGGACGGTGAGGCAGTAAATACGCCCGCCACTCGCCTGCCGGACGTTTTCAGAACGCACAGCAGGAGCTCAGCGGGGCCCCGTTGCGTGGTCTGGTACCTCACCCCGCTGCCGCACGCCAGAGGGCCGCCGCCACACTTCACGCTGCACGGACGCGTGCTTGGCGCTAAGTTAAGCGGGCGGCGTAGCCAGACCGCACTCCGAGCTCTACGGAGCCGCCCGCCCATTGAGTGTGTAGAGGAGGGCATGCGCCTTCGACTCCGCCAGCAGCATGCATCCCTTGTATCTCTCCTCCGGATCGGCACCGGCGCCCAATCCAGCCGGCGGCAACGCGTCAAGGCACATACGAGCGTTGGCGGCATCGAGGGGCTCCGCAGCAATGGGGCGCGCCAAAATCACCTATGCTTGTGCAACTTACCCGCCATCAGGCGGAGGGCTGAGTGTGTCGGGTTGGAAGGCGGGAAAAGAGCCTCGGCGTGTTGCCCTAACCCGCCGCCGCGTACGCACGACTGCAGGTAGCACCGGGCGCCCCCGCATCGACGCAGCGCCCCCCAGCGAGAGAAGGCGAGCCTCCTCTTCAGCAGCCGCCCAAGAGGCCCTGACGCGAACGCCAGCGACGACGCCGGCGGCGCGGGTGTGGAACTTCTCCAGGCGCTCCAGTGCCGACGGCGAAGCCGTGTTGCAGCGCGCCACTGCCCGTAGAGGAGTTGGGGGGCCCACCAATGAGGGTCTTGAGCAGCGGACGCGGTATTTCACATTTCGGCCCCCATGTTCTTGCTGACACCGCCTCGACCTCCATAAGTCTTGTTTTTGCGACGGCGAAGTACCCCCGCACCTGCCGGCCAACCCCGCGCAATGACTGGATCAAAACCGCCCCAACAACCGCGGGAGGCAATCCTGCGACAAGCGGGCCCCTCCCGCGTGCGGCCGCAGGCTTTCAGTGAGGGCGGTGCCAAAACAGCGTGCACTTCTTAGCGGCGCTGAGCTCCATATTTGTTCCGCTCCACCCATCTTCGCGTGCAACGCAACGCTTGCCGCAGCGTGCGCTCCATAGCGCCTCTCCCTCTCTCGGTGGTGGCGGTCAGGTCGTCGGCGATGAAAGCAAGTTCAAGGTTGGGGATGCACACCGGTTTCTCACCGAGGCTGTTCGCGGCAACGGTGGGCGGCGGCGGGCCGAGCACGCAACCCTGCGGGACGCCGCGGGTGAAATGAACCGGTGCGGTGGGCGTATTTTGTACACGCGGCTTTTGGCCGCGCGGCAGGGAAAGGAAGTTCGCCTCCCACCGGCTCATGCACGGCGCCACCTTGTGCGCGCGGAGTGCGTGAAGGATGCGGCCGCGATCAACCGAGCCGAAGGCCCAGCGTGACCCACTAGCACCGCACCGGCCTTCCCCCGCTTGCCACGGTGAAATGGTCCAAGCAAACAGGCGAGCTAACGGATCCAGCGTGGAGCGACCAGGGCGAAAACCAGCTTGCTGGGGAGGAAGTTGGGCTTCAACTGTGCCGCGGATGCGTCGTGCCACAATTCCTTCCACGAGCTTACGCGGGCAGCTGGTGAGGGCGACGGGCCGAAGCGAGGCGGGAATCATTTGCCCGGCTTCCCAGGCTTGAGGAGCGGGACAATTGCAATGCCCACTTCCCGGGAAGCCGGAGCGCCACCGTCGCCGATGCTCCTGTTGAACGCGGCCGCGAGTTCCTTGCAGGCGGCGAGGTGCAGTTGGTGCAGGGCCTCGCAGTGAAGCGCACCAAGCCCCGGCGCACTCCGGAGACACATCTCCCGCAATGCAGGGTCGAGCTCCGCAAAGGGAAATCGGACGTGGCGGCGCACACTCGCGCCAAGGTGCCGACGCGCTCCTTTGTGGCGGTGGGTTGGACATCCGCCGCCGCAACCGGCGAACCGGCGGCGCGCGGACGTAGACTGCCTCGGCGAGGCCGCAGCTTGCCGCCTCCGCCGGCTCCGGTCGGGAGCACCGCTCCTTCCAGCGAGCAAATGCGGCGTTGCTGAGACGCGTTCGTCGCTGCTGTGCGAGGCGGCGAAGCGGCAAGTTCCCGCGCCGCTCCGATGCGGTCCTTTTCGGCGTCCAGAACGGTGGGCGTTTGGCCACCGCATGCGGCACAGTGCGCTTCACTGCTCCGCGGACTACGGCTGCAAACTGCCGAATGGCGCCGTGGATATTTACGGATGAGCGATCCGTCTGCCAAATGCGCGCGGGTTCCCGGCAATCCACCCGGCCGTCTTCCCTGCGTCTCTTGCGGGGCGCTGCTCTTTTCCGGATGAAGACCCGGACGCGCTTGATTCATTTGATGCGGCGGCGGGTGGCGCGTATGTCCCCCGCGCCTGCGCGCGAATACTTCCTAACACAGCGCCCATGCGCAGCCCAATCTGCCTCCTCCCGGCCGCGCCGCCCGCGGGGTCCGCGAAAAACGATGGGGCGATTTGTTGTCTCGCCAACCTGCGCATCGTGCGTGGCCCACGCGTCTTCGCAGCCCGCCGTGAAGCGGGCCGCCCACCCATCGACTCGCACCGATTCCGGCAGCGTCACGCCCGGGGGCGGCGGAAGCGGCAGCTTCACCGACGGCCTCCTCCACCCGAGCGCCGCGGTACCGCGGCACGCGCGAAAACCCGTTTGTCAAACGCCGAACCACCAAAGTTACGCCCCCAAATGCTGCAGGCCGTGCGACCTCCCAGACGGGGCGGGTCCCGAGTAAACAATGCGACCGCGGCCGTCTCGAGTGAACCGCTCTTCCTTGCGGGGTCCGGTGAGGGCGCTGATCCCCGCCTGGAGAAGTGCGGGGCGGCGCCGCCACGGGGCGTTGGCGCCAAACCAAAATGCCGAAAATGAATTTGAACAAAAGCGCCCGCACTCTTTCACAGCAAACTGCGTCTCAAAGAGAACACGCAACGCAACTTGCCCCTCCTTCAACCGCTTCTCCGGAGGGGTCCGCTTCGTGCGCTCGAGACCGCCGGCATTCCGCCGAGCGATTCGCAGAACAGGACCCTGATTCAATTCCGCGTCTCCGCAAAGCCGGAGAAACCGCCAGTGAAAAGCCCACGGCGCGAGGGATGCCGCCACATTTTGGCGCGCGCGGTTGTTTGGCGGGAAATCAACTGCATTTGTCCC